CACCGTCGTCGGTTTCACCTACATCCGCAGCTAGCGCATGCCGAAAAAAATGAGGAATACTTGCACTGCTTCTTATCAGTCCCTAAAGACCTCTTTCCATTTACTGCTAAAGAAAATAATACTCATTGTGAGCCTTCTTGATGATCCCGGTGACCTAGAAGCTCCAGCTCCAGCTGCCCAACCACAACCATCTGCAACAACAACAACAGCAGCAGCTAGGAACTTGAATTGGGCAAAGATTCTTGTGGTGTATTGCTTGTCATCAGGAGTTGCCATGGCTCTCATACACACCCAAGTTCAACCCAGCAAGCTCCCTCTAAGCTTTTTCTTTCTCGAACTGGCAATCCTACTCGCCTTTGCGTGCATCATGGTAAGCAAATTTGTTCAGCACTCCAAATGTCCAACAAAAACACTTCATCTCTTCCATTTCTTTGGGGTCTTTTTCGGAGTCACCGCCTTCTTCATTTCCATTACAATCCCTTTTCCTCTCTGGTTCAAATGTACTGCATCTGTCATCTATGTGGCCTCATGCCTTGTGGTCATATTTTGCAATTACTTCTATAATTAATATTAATGTTGAGAGAGAGAGAGAGAGAGAGAGAGAGAGAGAGAATAAGAGATATATTAGACTGCACTACTGTAATAACTTCACAGTGCCCTTTATGTTTGTAAAAGTTGAGTAGTAGCTTGATCTGGATGAAATTCCACAAGGATATGTCTTCATGTTTGTATGATTTCCTATTAATAAATATTATTTTGTATAATTTCTTGATTAATATTTGCCATGCAACGAATTCCACATCATACATAGTGTTAAAAGTGAATAAAAATGGGGAAATGGAAAACTCTGGATTAAAAATTTTGCACATGGGTGTCTAAAGTATATCCTTGAGTGCAAATATAATTTCGTACAGTTTTATCCCTTGTGATTATGGTCCTCTGCAACACACTTATGGTTGAAATCTATTTCGACCCAGTTGAAATTGTCAAAATATGACTTGCCCAAACCCAATGTTCCTTTCTCAGAAGGCAAAGAAAAAGCCCAAGGTCTGTGTCTCACAAAAAAATAAAGCCCATGTCCAATTCTTTTAAGAGGCTCTAAAATTCGTATAATAATTATTCAAAAAAAACCTTTTTAAAAAAATAATAATTTTGAGTGACACACATAGGATTGGAATATGCCTTATTTTCCGACGAAACGGATCTGAATCAGGGAGTCCAAAAAAAATGATTTAACGTCACTCCTGCTGCGTACTCAATCTTGAGTTCCATGCTGTGGAATGTTTTCGTCTTTTTTGTTTTTGCATAAGTCGGTAAAAGGAAACAACATTTTGTGTTTTTCAAATTGCCCAAACTATTAAGGGAAAATAATGAAAATCGTTTTTCTTTGCATTACACACCAATGTCTATCCCAAAAATCTTTAATAGGAACTGGTAGAATTAGTTTTCAAAAAAAATTCACAAGGCACTTTTATGAATTTGTATCCAAATAATCAGTGAGTAGTAACCATATATCTAGTAGTGTTTTGATTATTCTGAGTTTGCAATCTTAGTGAGGATGCCTATGCCAGAATTTCTTTGATCCTGCGTTATCATTTGTGGAGGCGCATCAGATTATTTTAATTTTAATGTTAGGCCGCTCCATTATTGTAATGGTCATTTGTGGCTAGTGGTTTTTTTAACTGAATTATGAATGCAATCCTAGAATTTCTCAACAACAAAAAAATTTGAATATCTTATCATTGATTGATATTATAACATGTGAACAAGTTATACTATGTAGTCGTATTTTAGTTCCTTATAAACATTTGTTCACATTGAAGAAAAAATAAATTTAAAAAAAAAGTTTAGATGTTCAAAAATTGTTTTTGGTTACAAGTTTTTTTTATTTTTAAATAATTAATTTAGCTAACCGGATTTATGTAAAACTACCCAAGTTTTATTGTTTTTAGATACAAGTTATATACGTTAAATTTCAAAGAGACAGGTTGATGACCCACTATTAGCAACACCGATATTGTCCCTAACTGAACTACCTACAAAGCCCGGTATGTGTGAGGTTTTATCATAAAAAATCTCGATGATATTAGTAGTGAAACCATTCATTATATATTGTATTTTCTATAGTTAAGTTCTGATGTGGGACTTATATTCTTCAACAATATAAAGCCACCCCCAAGTTAACTCATGAATCATGAAAATATATGCAAGTGTTGTGAAATAATTGGAATAATTGAAAATGCAATTGCATGAAATCTACATTATTGCACTTTGACCGGTTACCTTCAAATGACAATTAACATAAATTCTTTTTATTATTTGAAAAATTGATACACCATAATATGCACCATTTGCCAGGAAAGTACGAATGTAAAGTGGACCAAGAAAGTACGAATGTAAAGTGGAGAATGAATTTAGGAAATAAAGCATTCAATCTTTGACCAAAATGTAGCTGGCGTGAAATGGCTATAAGAGCAACTCCACCCATTTGCCCTTAGCCATGGCAAGGGGGGGAGCTAGGGCAGCTACTATTCACGTGAATAGTGGTTGCCCTTGCAAATCAGAATTTTGTGTTTCCACCCGTTGCCCTTGCTAAGGGCAGTTACTAACACCCCCACAAAAAGACATGCACACCCTAATTTCTCCCACAAAAAGACATGCACACTCTAAAGACGATAACACCCCCACAATTCACACAATTCCCACCCCGTGTCTGTCCTTCCCCACCCCTTTTCCCTATCTATACTGTCTACTCCTATGCCAAAC